TGTTGGGGACAGTTTCTGGCAGGTCGTGGCGGGGTTAAATGCCTCCCGGGCAATTAAAATTGAATTAAAATAGGCTGTGGTGAGGGGGGAAGAGGCCCAAGCTATGGGTCTGGTGGCTGAGGATGGGATGGAGAGGATGGAGTGAGGTCAGGGAGCCCTAAAAATCCTTGGAAACTGATAAAAGCACCCCCAAAACTGAGCCACCACCCCTTCCCAGCACCTTGTGGCTGTATTTTAAGGTGTTGAAGGCACCACAGGGCCAGGTTAGAAGAGCCTGGGGGCTGGTCTTCAAGAGGCCATGCCTCTTCCATGCCCATTTGTCCCCAGATTTTAGCCTCAAGTGCCTTAAAGAGAAGAAGATCCCCATCAGGGTCATAGAATCATAGAATCATATGGGGTTGGAAGGGACCTCTGGAGATCATCTAATCCACCCCCCCCACCAGAGCGGGTCTACCTAGAGCAGGTTGCACAGGAACTTGCTTGGTTTTGAATGTCTCCAAAGAATGAGACTCCGCCACCTCTCTGGGCAGCCTGTTCCAGGGCTCTACCACTGTCACAGGAAAGAAGTTCCTCCTCATGTTTAGGTGGAACTTCTTATACTCAAGTTTGTGCCCATTTCCTCTTGTCCTGTCACTGGGCACCACTGAAAAAAAACCAGCCCCATCCTCTTGACACCCACCCTTTAAGTATTTATAAGCATTAATTAGATCCCCCCTCAGTCTTCTCTTCTCAAGACTAAAAAGCCCCAAGTCCCTCAGCCTCTCCTTGTAGGAGAGATGCTCCAGGCCCTTAATCATCTTTGTGGCCCTTTGCTGTACCCTCTCCACCCTGTCCTTGAACTGGGGAGCCCAGAACTGGACACAGTATTCCAGATGGGGTGCCACCAGGGCAGAGTAGAGGGGCAGGATGACCTCCTTCCACATGCTGGCCATGCTCTTCTTGATGCACCCTGGGATGCCATTTGTCTTTTTGGCCACAAGGGCACATTGCTGGCTCATGGGCATCCTGTTGTCCACCAGGACTCCAGCAGGTCAACCTCCAACTTTTCCTGGTGCTGGGGGTTATTTCTCCCCAGGTGCAGCACCCTGCACTTGCCCTTGTTAAATTTCATTAGGTTTCTCTCTGCCCAGCTCTCCAGCCTGTCCAGGTCTCACTGGATGGCGGCACAGCCTTCTGGGGTGTCGGCCACGCCTCCTAATTTTGTGTCATCAGCCAACTTGCTGAGGGTACATTCCATCCCTTCGTCCAGGTCATTGATGAATATATTGAAGAGGACAGGACCCAGTACTGACCCCTGGGGAACACCCCTTGTTACAGCCTTCCAGCTGGATTCTGTGCCCCTAATCACGACCCTCTGAGCTCTGTCTTTCAGCCAGTTTTCAATCCACCTCACTGCCCATTCATCTAACCCACACTTCCTAAGCTTAGCTATGAAGATGCTGTGGGAGACGGTGTCAAAAGCCTTGCTGAAGTCAAGGTAGACAACATCCACCGCACTCCTCTCATCTAGCCAACCAGTCATGCCATCATAGAAAGCTATCAGGTTAGTCTGACATGACTTCCCCTTGGTGAATCCATGTTGACTACTTCTGATAGCCTTCTTTTCCTCCATATGCTTTGAGATGACACCCAGGATGAGCCGTTCCATCACCTTTCCAGGGATGGAGGTGAGGCTGACCGGTCTGTAATTTCTTGAGTCCTCCTTCTTGCCCTCTTTGCAGACTGGGTTGACACTGGCTTTTCTCCAGTCCTCGGGAACCTCACCTGTTCTCCAAGACCTCTCAAAGGTGATGGAGAGTGGTCCTGCAATGACTTCTGCCAGCTTCTGTCAGCACTCTCGGGTGTATCCCATCCAGACCCATGGACTTGTGGATATCTGGCCCCAGGGCTCCCTTGGGCTGCGCTGGGTTTCTGGGAGGGGCTGGCCCCACCGGGGCTTCCCGGGTGAGGGGTCCAGCTCCAAGAACCCCCTGCACAGTCCCTGCCTCTCTCTGTGGGCGTTGGAGTTCCCATCCTTGGTGGGAGGGTTCAGGGAGGAGGCGGTTCTGCTTTTCTGGGCACGCAACTTGTGCTCTTCCGTGGCTGGTGGAGCCCAGGATGCAGGGCTCAGCTGGAGGGCAATGGGAAGACCTCTGTCTGTTCCTCATAATAGTGACAACTTGTTATTAGTACTTACCTTCTTTACCCGAGCCATTTCTGATGCTATGAAGGGTTTATCAGCCTGACTGTAGTTCAGTTCCTCATTAACTGGGGTCCAGCTCTTGGGACGTTGCCCAGACAAAAGCGGTGACCGAAGAACTTTGTCACCTCGCAGTTCGTTGCTCGGGACAGAAGCTCAATGCCTGCTCCACATCGGCACCCCCAAATGCCCCCGGGATGCACTGCGGTGGCTGGGTCGGGTGGAGGGGCCACAGCCCCTTTTTGGGGGGGACCAGGATGGGCAGAGGGGTGACACACTGTCCTGCCCCTGGGATACTGAGGTGGTTTAACCCCAGCTGGGACCACACAGCCCCTCGCTCACTGCCCCTGGCTGGGATGGGGGAGAGAATGGGAAGAGGAACAACTTCTGGTGCTCCCCAGGCCACTCCCTGGTGGCGTCTGTGTGAGGAGCAGACCAGGCCTTGGCAGCACCCGAAGTCAACCCCATCCCAGCTGAATCCAGGACAGATGCCCATTGCTGCTTCGCTTGGGCTGCCCATCCCCCTGGGGAGAGCCTGGCAAAGCCGAGCTCGGCTCCTGCTGGGACGAGGGGAGAGGAGGGGAACCTGCACCAGGGTGGGCAAAGGAGCGGAGGAGGGAACACTGAGCCCATGTGGGGTTTGGGCTGAGCTCCCTCCTCCTTAGAGAAGGTACTTGGCAAATGAACTCCTGAAGGGAAAAAAGAACACTCTTCCACTCAGTGTTAGTCTATTTCCATCACACCAAAAGCCCCTTCCCTTGCCTGCTTTTCTTTTTCCTGCTAATTTCCCAGAACGCAGCATTTGAGAGTCCTTCGGTCTTCATGTGCAGAGCAGCAAGAAGCAGAAGAGCTTGGTTCTGGGTCAATGCAGGTAGGGATGGACCCGCTTCCCCCAGCCCCTGGTGGCCTTAGAGGTGCCCGGCATCCCCCCAAACCCTCCTGTTCCCCTTAACCCTGCCGGGCAACCAGGGTGACCCAAGGCCTGCTGTTGCCCGGGGGTCCCCCTCTGAACTCGGGCTCACTTGGGGTGCAGGGCTCAGCTGGAGGAGTTGGGCTGGAGGGAAATGGGAAGACGACAGTCTTTTCCTCCCTCATCTGCCTTCCTCCCTCCTTGATCTGCCTCGCTGAATTATTTAGGTATTTCTTTTTTCCACGGAAAGTTTTTCATTCTCAGTAATCTGTGTCCTCACAGTTTTCAATGTTTTGATGAAATCATAATTCTGGTTTTGTTTACATTTTTAAGCTTTGTCAGCTTTTTAAAATTACTCCTGGTGTAGTGCTTCTTTCTTTGCCAGAAGTTGCCATTTCAACAAAGCGATCTTTCTTTCTGAAATAGCAATGCATAATAAAACAATCAAAAGTTGCACGCATATCGTTTCCTGAAACTGTTAGTAATTTCCTCATTTCTGGTGTTTGCACATGGATATGATTCAGTACCATATTTTAGTGGTCCAATGATCCTAACAAAAAGATATCATTCCATGTTCCATTTTATAGTCTTAAAAAAATAAATAAATTGGCTTACTAAATTATTAAAGGAAAAAGCATAAGCTACCAAAAAATGAGCATGTTTTGTTTTTTATGATCCTAAATTGTTAATCACTATTTATAGAAATGAAGTAAGAAAGAAAGAAAAAGAGAAATAAAGCAAGAAAGAAAAAGAGAAAAATCGTAGAACAGTTTATTTCTCTTTTCTCTTTGATAAGATTTCTTCTTTTTTTCAATGATAAGACCAGTGGTGGTAAAACTGCCTCAAAGCCCAGCTTGAAACAGGCAAGATCCTGCTTGTCTTGAGCCAAGTGATTTCACTTTCAGTGTGTCATGGGAGAAGGGAAGGGATTCCAGGGGGAGAGGAATGGGTTCTGCTCCAGCAATGGGAACATGGAGATAGCCCTGAGTCCCCAGGAGGGAGGAGATTCCCACAGCCCGGAGGTGCCTGGGGCTACAGACAGAAGGATGCACAGAGGAGTCCTGGGTGAGTGCAGGGTCCCCACCTGTGGCCTGTGGGGAGGGATAGTGTCCCCGTGGCAGTGTCACCCACGAGGACTGGGGCTGGCAACTGTGAGGCATCTTACGGATGTCTGGAAAAGGCCCCGTATTCTGCTCAGTCTTCACTGGGATGGCTGTAGCAGCCCCCCAGCTCTGTCTGGCAGCTCTCCTGCTGCGGGCTGTCCCCCAGTGTGTGTGGGGTGACAGCCTTGTCCCTGCTCTGTGTGACTGTCCCTTGGTGCCAGCTGGGAATGGCCCCATGGCAGTTCCTGTGCCCGGGGAGGGGACGGAGAAGCTGCAGCTGAGTGTTCACTCTCATATTGCCTGGGCAGCTGGTGGTGGGGATGGGAGGGGGACAGCAGCGTCCTCACCCCGAGTGGTTCTTTCCCCCTCCAGGCAAGTGGCACAGACTCCATCCAGTGTGTGTCCTGGTGGTGTCTGTGCTGGTGGCTCTGGTCCTGGCTCTGGCCGTGGCTGTTACCTGTGGCCTGTGGGGAGGGATAGTGTCCCCGTGGCAGTGTCACCCACGAGGACTGGGGCTAGCAACTGTGAGGCATCTTACGGATGTCTGGAAAAGGCCCCGTATTCTGCTCAGTCTTCACTGGGATGGCTGTAGCAGCCCCCCAGCTCTGTCTGGCAGCTCTCCTGCTGCGGGCTGTCCCCCAGTGTGTGTGGGGTGACAGCCTTGTCCCTGCTCTGTGTGACTGTCCCTTGGTGCCAGCTGGGAATGGCCCCATGGCAGTTCCTGTGCCCGGGGAGGAGACGGAGAAGCTGCAGCTGAGTGTGTGGGGGGCAAAAGGGTCTGGGGAGGGGTCCCTCCTGTGTTTCCTGGGCAGCTGGTGGTGGGGGTGGCAGGGATGGGAGGGGGACAGCACCATCCTCACCCCGAGTGGCTCCTTTTATCTCTAGTCAAGCTGTGCATACTCCATCCAGTGTGTGTCCTGGTGGTGTCTGTGCTGGTGGCTCTGGTCCTGGCTCTGGCCGTGGCTGTTGCTGTGCTCTCAGGTAAGGGAGGAGCGGCTGCCTCCTTCCCTGCCCCACGGAGCTGTGTCCCCTGGTCCCTGCGCAGCCCAATCCTCTGCCCTTCTCCCCTTCCCTCTCCAGCAAGAACATGTGGAGGGGATCCAGCTGTGCCTGTGGCTCCGGTGCTGGCGTGTCCTGATGGCTGGGTCGGGTACCACAATGTCTGCTACTACCTCTCGAGGGACCAGGGGAGCTGGGAGTGGAGCCAGGAGCAGTGCTCCTCGCGTGGGGCCTCGCTGGCCGTGCTGAGGAGGGAGTGGGAAATGGTGAGTGAGGGGCTGCTGTGGGTGCGTGGGGGTTTGGTGGGGTTCCTGGGTTGGGCACAGAGTGTGGGGTGGGAGCAGAGCTGTGTCAGAGCAGGACCAGGAGCACTGGGTGGGCTGGTGATCTCCTGCAGCAGCTCTGGAGCTTGTTGGAGCAGGCGTGGGGTGGGAGCTGCTGCCATCCCAGGGCTGGTGGTAGCTGTGTGGGGCCAGGGGTGGGACAGGGACTAGTGTGGGGCTGGGAGAGGGACTGGCGTGGGGCTGGCAGCATCTCCTGACTGTTGGCTTCTCTCTTTCCTGCCCAGCGGTTCCTCTCGCTCCTCAAAGGTGACATGGATCCCTGGACTGGGCTGCGGAGACGGGGCGAGCACCTGGAGTGGGTGGACGGCAGCAGCTTCAACCAGACGTGAGTCCTGTTGGGAGCCGGGGCCGTGGGGAGACCGTCCTGTGGTGGGACGGGCAGGGTCCTGGTGGGAGGTGTCTGCTGGGGCTGTCCCTTGCAGGCAGCCCATGTCTCCTCCTGGTGCCTTGAGGGGACAACAGGGTCGGTCCCCCATGGTCCCAGCGGTGTCTGTGCTGCTTGTTGCAGGTTTGAGGAGTGTGGTCAGGCAGAGAGTGTGTATTTGTATGACTGCGTTTTGGGCAGTACGGACTGCTCACGGTGCTAGCTGTACGTCTGCAGCAGCCCCAAGTGCTGAGATGAGAGAGGTGATGGAGGAAGGACCTCCCAGGACCAGGCCGCCATTAAAGGCTCCTTCCTTTAAATTTATTTCCTGCCAAAGCCCACAGGAGAACTCCCCTGCTCAGGGCATGGTGGCACACAACTTCGCTCCAATTAGAACTCTACATCTTTATGCTAAAGCAATCCTATTCCTCCCCAAAGCCCCTGACAGAGCCCACAGGCCCTGATGCCCCAGGGACCCACGGCCGCACTGGGGAGAGAAGGGGGTTTCTGTCGTGGCCGTCGGGGACTCAGAATCACCGGGTTTCCACCCAAAATGTCCCGAACAGCGTGACTGAGCGTCTGAAATTTTGGTTCGTGACCTCCGGGAGCGGTACCGTTTTCACCCAAAGCGGCTGCCGGGCAGAAGGAGAGGGGAGGGGCAGGTCCTGAGGGGAGTTTGTGCAGCGCTCCGATTTGCTGTGCCCCCCGCCACTCGTCCTCCTTGCGCGCTGATTGGGCAGAGCGGTCTAAATAGCGGGGTCGTGGCTGACACCCTCCCTCAGAGCGGCGGCGGGTCGGTGTTACGGGGTGTTTGTGTTCATCCCGTGGGGCAGGTAAGGCCGGTTGGTGGGCGCTGCTGGGGCCCGGCTGCTCTTTTAGGGGCTGTGGGGAAGGGATCCCGTTGGGCTGGGGCTCCCCGTGCGCCGTCCCTCGTCGCTGCCCCCCCCCC